ATTCCCCTTGCTCACCACACCTCCCCCTATACAGCCCCATACGCAGCCCCTTATGCACACCCGTCTCTTCCGGGCACCCGACCCATGGTTTACTCGGGTCGGGGTATTCCGAGTCCGGTCGCTAGGCTTAGGGCCGCTGCGGCCGCAGCCGCCGCTTCCGGTAGGGCTCCGGGCGATGGTTTACGGGCCAGAAGTTAAAGCACTAGTACTTAATAATCATTTCATTATTTGTAATATTAATTAGTATTAACTTTTATTGATTAATATTTGTTCAGTAATTATTTGTATTATAAACTTAATGTTTGCCATAATTGTGGTCATAATATTTAAATTTAAATAAAATACTGTATTGCCTACTCAAGAAATAAAAACTGGTAATAAACACCTTGTTTATTAACTTAATTTTTCATATGCCATATATAGCAATAATTTATAGCCTGCAGACGTAAAATGGTATCAAATTTTATGGCAAATAATTTTTTTAATTTGTTTTATTACAAAAAGTTTAAAAATTCTTTAGAAATATTATTTGTGTTATTTAAATATACAATAGATTTCCTGTATTTTGCATCAAAATATTTGTAATTCATTTTTGTTTTAATTTTAAAAATATCTTAAGATTTACTGTATATTTAACTCCATTTTTAACAATTATAAGTTAATACAGTTATAAATTATTATAACTTATAATACACTTAATTGTATTATAGTATAATACCTTTAAAATAATTAAAATACTTTGTTATTTTTATAAATAGTTAAAAAGGAGTTAAATAAACAGTAAGTTATTTTTAAAGTGAATTACAAATATTTTGATGCAAAAAACAGGAAATCCATTGTATATTTAAATAACACAAATAATATTTCCAAAGAATTTGTAAACTTTTTTGTAATAAAAAAAATTAAAATAATTATTTGTCGTAAAATTTTGTTACATTTGACGTTTACAGGCTATAAATTATAGCTATATATGGCATATAAAATATTAAATATAAATTTATTATTTATTAATTATATAATTGTTAACAAAACAATTCACACAATGAAGAGATTCATGATTATGGGTTTACTTGTAGTCAACATAATGACAGTCAGCGCCGGACTATCTGTTTGTATGTAATTTTTTTAAGTTTACATTGTTTAAATCAATATAACAACTAATTGTTATTTATCCAGCATGTGGTCAAAATGGGTACCATGTTGATTGCAAACACAACTGTCCCCGCACTTGTCCTGGCCCTTATGGCCGGCCCCGAATCTGTCCCATTAAATGCATACCCGGCTGCGACTGTAAGCCTGGTTTCATCAAGCTTGATTCCAGGGGTGATCAATGCGTTAAACCTGATAACTGTCCCCGTAATCCTTATGAAGCATAATCATATAACATGATTATTATATTTAAACTGTTTATTTAAATCATTTTAATTAAAAATAGTTTTAAAAAATAAATATCACTAAATAAATTAATCAATAAATTTTCAACCAATTTATTATTTCAAACAAACATAATTTTAAAAATTACAATTACATTAAAAATTAACTCAACAAAACGACCATGGCGTTGATATCAGCTCTATGTAAGACTGATATTGCGGGTCATACCGAACAAAATAAAAGGATCAAGAGCGGCTATACAGGCTGCGTGGCGCATTTTATCAGTCTGATACAATTTCCAGAAAATGTCGGTCAATTTCTTAAGACTTAGCTTACAATTTTGCTTGGTACATTTGGGCGTTGTCAGCGCCTGACTGAGTGGCTGCTTGATTAGGTCAGACACTTGTATTACATCCGTGTTTACAATGACATATTGCCCGCCACTGGCGTCGGTCGAGATCTCAGTCCAAGTGCTGGTCTCAGTGAGCGGCGCCTGAGCCGACACAATCACTCGGTCCGAGACACTCACCATCAGTACGGATATTACGATATAAATACCGCAATACTCTTTCGTGTAAAACATTTTGAACATGATCATGTAAAATAGGATTTTTTAAATTGATTTGTTTTATAATTTACTATTATGTTTTAGTTTTGAATATTAATTGTTACCTGAATTAAATGCTATAAATCATGCTATTGTATGCAAAGTTTGTTGATTGTATGTGTATTTAATCAGGAACTTTGTGATCACTATTAAACATTTGTTATAACATTATAATGTCATAAGCGCGTTTTTTGTTATAATTTGTCAGCTAAATAAATTTTATAGTTATTGATTGACTATTTCTCTGTCACGAAAGGTGATTTTGTAATTTAAATGGTGATCTATTAACTTGTAATATAAAATAAAATTATTATACAATACATTAAATTTGAAATTTTTATTTAACTATTGAAAAAAATTAAGAACATAACTAAAGGTTTAACTTTATTTAAAGGTAAAATAAATAAATAAATATTTAAAATAAAATCATCTGTTTAAAATAATCTACCATGAGGGTTCTTTCTCATAAGGCGTCCGTATTCATCCATACTTTCATCGAGTTCATCGTCGGGGGTCTTATCAGCCATAACTATAAATTATAGATAATTGTAAATATATTTAAATAAAATCACACCTTGTTTATCGGATTAAAATATTTTCATTAATCTACATAATATTTATGCACGTAATAACATTATAGTTAATAATTGTACATAAAATTAATAAAACAAACCTGATGGTTTTGCCACGACATCATTACCGGTCATATCATAAACACCATTACTGTAACCGGAATCCATTACGGGTGCGGCGGGATTACCGGAAACGCCAACAACTGGCTTATTATTGTTGGTAAACTCATTCCAGGGCATAGTGTTTCCATTAGGGTCCTTCACCACCACTCCGCCCACGTTTGAGCCTGATACACCCACTGGTATAAAATTACCATTCTCATCTAGGCCAATATCGATCACTGTACCGGAGGGAGCTAGGTGAACAAAAAAATAAACATTAATTAAATCACAACAAATTTTTTAGCACATATAAAATAAGATGGTGACTATTACATGTTTGTAATGTTTTACCATTTGATAACATGGGACTCATAACGGGGGCGCCCATTGGGTTGGTGCCCATTAAACCGCTCATACCCATACCACCTGCGTGACCAGGGTGTTTGCCGGTACCATGTTTGCCGGTGCCAGAGTGCTGGTGCCCGTCCCCTTGGCCACCCTTAGCCTTATGCAATTTACTACCTTTTCTGAGTTTTTTGTGTATTTTATCCCACTTTACATCTTTAGACGCCTTCGAGTTTTTCATCTTTTTCAGACCCATACTCCTGTCCGAGAGCTCCGGTATCTCGTACTCGACTGTGCAGTGAATATGGTGTTAATTCAATTATCATATAAATTGTTGAACATGGTATTTGTATGAATAACATGATTGTAATATTAAATATATGATTTGATAATACGTACAGCATATGATTGACGTGAATAATACGCTCAACAATGAGATGTAAAACGTGGCCACATTTGAAATTTTCATTTTACTGTTGGTGAACTTGTTGGATTGTTTTATTTTTACTATAAAATTAAAAATGTAAAATTCTGGCTATTTTATATAGCATTAGTTAAAAGTTATTTTAATAATTCACAATAAATAGGTAATTGTCTCAACACATGTGGATATTAATGGAATAATTACATAATACTGGATTAAATTAATCCAGGTCAGCGTAGTATTAAAATATATTTTGTTTAAGTCTTGCACTAAATGATTTTAAATAATTCTAGTTTATGCCACATAAATGGTCTAGTTTATAAAATAATTACGTAATTAATAATGAAATAAAAATAATTATATTCATATATTACAAGTATTTATATAATTAACTTACTTGTTAGTAATTTTAATATAAAGAACTTTATAATAGAACTTGGTAAATGCATAAGTTTTATTTTAGACTTCAAAATGTAATACAGGAGTAGAATATTATTAGGTTTATTAATTTTAAAACAATTAGTACAGTAATTTATATAGATAACAATATCAACCAAATTAACTATTGCTCGAAGAATCAGTATTAATGTTTTGAAGACAGGTCTATGTAAGAGTATAAATAATCATATTAGTAACATTTTATAAATTATTATTATATGGGATTAAAACGTGTTAATACCTTAATCTCGGCGATTGACGTCTTAATGGCCTGTTTTGAGGACTGATCGGTCAGTTTTGAGAACTCGGCGCTAAAACATCGGCTCAACTAATGTTAAAATAAATAATTATATTAATATAGATAATATTTAAGGTACCCTAAATACCACAATATAACCCGCGTTGCATATGCACTCAAGTAATGTAATAGGTTCCGTTTCAGTTCCATTAATAGCGGTCTCATTATCAATCTGCTATTACCAAATTGTAGCCAGATAAATTAAAGAAATAAAACTATATTTAAACTTTTATAATTAAACTAAAATTTTAAGCTCATTTATAATAAAACTCATTAAAGAGATATGGCAACAAATAACGCGGCTTATAATCTGGACAATAAGGTATAGACTTATGTCTAAATATATTTTTTAATAAAGACCTGTTTTCTTGAATCCGATTTACATATCATTGACAAAGCGTTTGAAGCGCTTCCGGACATGCATTTAGTGGCAATTGTTTGCAACTATTAAACAACAAAATATATTATTTATCTCAAAAAGTTACATAATATTAGAAAATACATCGCTAGATGCTTTTAGAGCGCACGAGCCCGCAGATGACATAACCGATGGTGAAATGTTATTAGAGTTGCTGCAGAACTTTTTGATAAGCCGTCGGTCACTTAACATCCCTCCACATGATATAGTGGTAAACATGGTAACTGACAAAATTAACAAGATTAAAATTGCTATCTTCATGTTGATCAAAAATATTTTATATTCAATATAAATATTTTAAGGTTGGTTTAATATTTAAACCAATGTTTATATACGAAACATATAATTATTAATTTACATATTTTTTATTTAATACAATATAATAATCGATTACTATTTGTACAGAAGTTATATTTTATTTGAATAGAAAAATCATACATTTTATTGTGTTGTAAATAAAGTACTCAAATTCTAGGTTTTTAGTATTATTAATATTATTACCATCGGTATAGTTTTCATTGACAAAAATTACATTAATCAAGTACATTTAGACGTATTTGCATAATAGATAAGCATTTTTCCATTTATTGATAATATTTATTTTAAATAATATCATGATTTATTTGAGTAACCAAAGTAAACATATTGTGCTTAATGTCTATTAGTATACGTATTTTTAATACACAATCATATATTGCGAAATATGATAATTACAGTATATACCTGTCCATTTATGCTCATCAAAAATTTAAACATTATAATATAAAGCAATTATAAATACAGTAAATGTACTTATACAAACAATTTAAAAATGAACTATGAAAAAATAAAATTATAAAAATCTAATAGAACAAATGCACATGCTTATTGTTTGTAAGCATCCAGTTTATTATCATCAAAACCACTTGCTTTGTACAGATCAATAAATTTTTCCACAACTTTCATTTGAGACGGGGTCAAATTATCTGGGTATTTATCCAACTCAGATTGTATTTGCTCCGGGATATCACCCATAAAATTGACATTGCTCAACACAATAGTTGCTAAATTAATTCAAATTTATTATTGATTTAGTTTAGATTTAAATCTACTCATAAGTAAATTCACTTACCAAATAAAACTGTTAATAAAATGCTAGTAAATAATAAATGTTTAATTAAATTCATTTTGTCACTAATAATACAAAATTAAATAAAATAATAAAATATAATTTATTTTTGAAATGGTTTATAATTTTAGTTTTCAATATTTATGTTAAAATTGTTATAAATTGCTATAAATACCACATGCTACTAACTTATGCTTTTTGGGACAGAGCAGGTTTTAAATTATGATGAAATGATAAAATTAGTATAATTTAATTATAAAATAATAGCATTATTACATATACGTATAGAATTGTTAATTCACGACAAAAAATATTTTTAATATTTAAAAACATCTATTCTAATAAAAGGTCATAAACTACATGAATAATTTACATTACCATACATAATTTTATTTATTAATTAAATAATACACGTTTTAAATAATAAAAATAAATTACTAAAATAATTAATTATATTTTATTAAATTAAACACACATTAGTTAACATAAGCAATTTAACTTAGCCAATTGACTGAGATTGACCTGATCCCATCTGATTTTGACACATCATTACTCCATTCAAATTAATGCACTGCATTTGACCCTTGGCCGAACCGCCTGAGCTTCCGGACCCTACCAACCCTAGGTCTTAAATTATGATGTAATGTTTTTATATAATGCAACTTAAACGTAAATTATCATGTTTATTACCTAAACTGTCATCAATAGGCTTATCATCATTTAATACGTGTGTTTCGTCCACTTTTTCGACAACAGTTTCACCGAAAGGCAATTCGGGACTAAATTTTGATACGATTTTCGATTCCTGAATAGTCTCGATGTTTTCCAATGGAAACGATTCTGTATATTGTTATAAATAATAGAGTGGTAAATTTAGTTAATAATTTAATGATAATATTTAATATTTCAATAATTTACCGATTGTTAATATAGTAACTGATAATAGAAATATAACCACTAAATTTGCCATTATTTTTTTATTTTAAAATGCACTTAAATATACTTGATTAAGTTATAAAAATAAAATTGTATTTTTTTGTTTTATTAAAATTATTATTTTTATAATTTTTACTAATTTTGTAACTTATAACATATTATAAAAACACATGTATTCAATAAATAAAATATGTTTTAAATACTAATCCTGTTTAACTTAATTTAATGTTATGGTAAAAATAGTTTTTAATAATGTAACCAAGTTTATATGACAATATAAGATCTCTAATTTATTTAAAAATTACCCAGGATATAAAATAATAAATGTGATCACATTTGATTATTTTATATTGTGTAATAGTGTTATAATTTAACCATATTGTAAGTATTGGTCAGTTAGTGGAGCACAAGAGTACAAGTATACGACACAAATGCTTACAAGTGCTCCAAACAATAGTCATTGAATGTAACGAAAATTTATTAAATTATTTATAATTAAATGAAAAAATTGACAAAAGTATCGCAAAATTGCAATAAATTAATAGAATAATAAAAATTATTTGAAATTAAACGACATTTAAAACAAAATATATAATCTTATTAATAAAGTAGTCATTCGTTTAATTTATTTAGTGAAACATTTAAAACTGTGATTATTATTTGCTAACTGTAAACAAACTTACATTTAATGTTTCTTGATAATTAAATAAGTGTCATTATAATGAGCTGGCCAACAATACAGGGCTTATCAAATTTTACATTTAATTATAAATAATTTAATAAATTTTCGTTACATTCAATGACTATTGTTTGGAGCACTTGTAAGCATTTGTGTCGTAACTAACTTATGCTTTTTGGGACAGAGCAGGTTTTAAATTATGATGAAATGATAAAATTAGTATAATTTAATTATAAAATAATAGCATTATTACATATACGTATAGAATTGTTAATTCACGACAAAAAATATTTTTAATATTTAAAAACATCTATTCTAATAAAAGGTCATAAACTACATGAATAATTTACATTACCATACATAATTTTCTTTATTAATTAAATAATACACGTTATAAATAATAAAAATAAATTACTAAAATAATTAATTATATTTTATTAAATTAAACACACATTAGTTAACATAAGCGATTTAACTTAGCCAATTGATTGAGATTGACCTGATCCCATCTGATTTTGACACATCATTACTCCATTCAAATTAATGCACTGCATCTGACCCTTGGCCGAACCGCCTGAGCTTCCGGACCCTACCAACCCTAGGTCTTAAATTATGGTGTAATGTTTTTATATAATGCAACTTAAACGTAAATTATCATGTTTATTACCTAAACTGTCATCAATAGGCTTATCATCATTTAATACGTGTGTTTCGTCCACTTTTTCGACAACAGTTTCACCGAA